GATCATTGGTACCCATCTCCCGAGCATCAGTGATATCAGTGAGGTGAGGTGTCTGCAGAGCCCAAAGGATACTGAAGGACAGTACCCACCCAGCCACAGCCTGTTGCCTTCTGGGAGGAGATACAGAAGTTTCTGCTGCCGTACCACCAGACTGCAGAGCAGCTTTTCCCCCCAAGTTGTCAGACTCTTAAGCTAAAATTCATTCTCAGCACTGCTCCATCGATTATAGTTTATTCCTATATACCATTTTTATGGTAAATTATTTCTATATTAGGGCTGTATATAACAATTATTTTTCAAGTCGATTAATCTAACGATTATTTTTTCAATAAGTCGATTAAACAACAAATTTTGTGTATTCTAAAGAAAGAAAAGTTGCCTATTACTTGATTAACATACCAATTTATCCAAAATAAATATCAAAAACATGTCTAATCAATAATATTTTATTCAATCATCCTGATGAAGCACATATCTTAAAATGAATCCACTTTCCACCTCACTGATGTGTTGTGATAATAACAATAACAGACATTAATTAGGCCACTTTACTTAAAACTTTAAACGTTTCTGACATGGATTTATTTCAATATTGAGCAATGCAGTATGATAATCAAATGTATTTCTCACAGATGGTCTGTAATGTTAGATTCAGCTGTTTTCTCGGCCGTTAAATAAACAGAAAATATGAAACGGCCGAACATTAGATGACACCCAGCAGAGGGGCAGAAATTACTTTTAACATGAAGGCGATAAAGAAATACTTGTAAAAAACATTTTAACGGACTACGTGTCCTCGTGCTGAGAGTGTGGCGTGCAGTGTTCCGGGATACTTTCGCGTCACGTGTTCAGGCTGCTTCACGTATTTGTGTTTATGCCCTATTTATGCCCTACTAAGCCAATTGAAGTAGTAAAGGGGTGGTGGTGGCGCATAGATAAGATGCTTGCCTTTGGTGTGGGAGACCTAGTTGCTCCAGAGGCGTGCGACTGACATGTATAGCAGTTGTAAGTCGCTTTGGATAAAAACGTCAGCTAAATTAATTAATGTAATGTAAACCCTAACCCTTTGTCAGCCCTCCATCCAGACTAAAACTGCTTTCTCAGTTTGGAAAACGCAGGTTTTCCAAACTGGCTTCTGGTGTGTATAAATCTTAAAGTGGTCATATTATGCTCATTTTAGGTTGTTGTTAGATCCCGTCAAAAAGCTCTTATCTGGCGTTATCATACCAAATATGTACACCTTCCAACATTTAGCTGCCAAACGGTAAATCTACCTGCATTTGCCGCTTGGTGGGTGTTAATTTACACTGCTGCTTAGCACTGATCAACAATCAACAACTTCAGCCAATACACCCCTATCATCTATTCTAAACAAAATAGAGGAGAAATAAAAGCATACAACAATCAGCAAGCACGTGTAAGTGTGTGTGTGTGTGTGTGTGTGTGTGTGTGTGTGTGTGTGTGCTAAACTCACTCTGATTCAGATGACTAAATTACCTACACCATTACTTTGGTGATGTCATTTACATGTCTGCAGGTAAGCGGCTAGATGTTCTTTAACACTCAGCTATCAGATTTGCTCCTTACAGGACACACCACTGCAATCTATACACCTCCATAAACTGGACATCACTTCATACTCGACATAAAATCCACTAGTTTATGCTCATTTACAAAATTCTTTTAACTCCTCCGTATTTGGGATGTCTACTTCATCCTTCTTCCGTCACCTACAGCGCCCACTCTGCTAGTCACATCCAGCTACAAATCCCTTCAGCTATCACATCATTAGGTCGCACCACCAGTTCGCTGCACCCAACGATTGGGACAATTACAAAAAACAATAAAACTCTCCATTCTAGTCACCACTGCCACTTTTAAAGGCAAAATCACAAACTTGCTTACTGAAAACTGTAATTGCTTCATGTAATGTTATGTGTTGTTGTTATATGTCGCTCTGTTACAATCTAGCTTGTTTTCATTATTCAACTATTGTGCCATTTGTTGTATCGTCTACTCTCTGTAGATTATCTTATGTCTAGTCTGTTATCATGTTTCTTTATCTGTCTTGTAATTATTTTCTCATCTGGTCTCTTTGTGTCCTTGTGCCTGTTTTTAAAGTTGGTTGTTGGGACTGTGTTGTTGTCCTGTATCCTCCCTCTATTGTTTGATGTTTTTATTTAATCCCAGTTCTCACAGGAGGCATTTGTCTCCTGCCAGGACGTTATTGTAAATAATTTACTGTGGTAAAATTCAATAACTGCCACTTTATCACACAGTAACTGACAGCGAACTTCATTGGACAGTGGTGTTCCTGGACTTCAGTCTTGATACAGTGATGTTATTGCCTTCACACACAGTAACAGGAAGAAACAGTAACACGTCTAGCAGTGTGGCCCTGAAACAAAACATGAAACGTAATTATAATGCAATTATAATGCATCAGTCAGTTTAGGAAATCGGAAGGTCAGCGGTTCAATCCCTGGCTCCCCCTGGTTGCGTGTCGAAGTGTCCTTGAGCAAGATACTGAACCCGGAATTTATGAGTGAGTGTGAATGTTAGTTTCCGTTTGAGCACTTAGGCTCAGTGTATGAATGTGTGTGACTGGTGAATGCAGATGTAGTGTAAAAGCGCTTTTAGTGAGGGAAAAACTAGAAAGGCGCTATTCAAGTACAGAGCATTTACATTTGCATTCTTGGCTCAGATTCTGATGATCGTCGGGATACAGCACTGGTGGCATGGTCTAGCCTTTTCAAATGTTATCAACCGAATGGATCACATTCTGATATTGAAACGAGTCATTTTGCTCGGTTATGACGGTCAAATTTACTGATCCACCATGTTACAGCCGCCGTTTTGGTTGCTAGTAAAAGTTACTTCAAAGCAAAGGTACTTCCTGTCGGCCCAGAGGCATTGCGAGGCTTCCAGCCGACCAATCACAGAGCTTCGGTCCGCGTCGAGTCAAGTTACATTTTTTAAGGAGGTGCACGTCAGGCTACTCCATCGGTGACAGCGTAGGGTAGGGGGCTCCGCAGAGGCTACGCCATCAATTTGACGCAGAAGTGTAAATTGCACTTTATTCTCCTCTCGATGGTAATGGTGTGGTTTGTTTCTTCTTCTGCAGGTATGAAGACCATTATGTTGTGTATAAAAGCTTCCTTTGGATCCAAAAAACTTTTCGGTAATTACAAAAGGGAACAAATGAAAAATTGTGTGCTCTTGAATGCTGAGTCCTTTATAAAGTAACGTTGTTGATTGCGAAACACCTCCTGTTTCTGCTAGCGCATTCAGTGACATCATGACTGCACCTTCGGGGGTTTCCACACTTCCGTGAGGGCTTGGCCAATAGAAAACCAGTATTTGGTTTTTACTTAAAATTAACGCTGAAGGGTGAATAAACAGACAGAGAGAGAACCGTTGTTTCTTTGTTACATGCTTTTTGTGTTACATGCAGGCCGCTTTGTTAGGCTTCTGGCCTATAGGCCTCTTCTTTGACTCCATTAAGTGAGGTTCCCATAGTGAAAATGTTTGTGGAGTGAACTGTGGAATGTACAACAGTTCCTCAATGGTCAATGTAATTGGAAAAAGAGAGTTGAAGACTGAACAAATAAACAAAAACAAAAAAGGGACTTGAGAGTGTAACAACAAGGCAGCCATCTGCGGTGCCGTCTTGGCATCATTAGTTACATTTCTGAATGATGATCGGAGCTAATCAGGGAGGTAGATGCTAAGGCTACTTCACCGTGGCCAAGTGTTTTATATAGGGCTGGGTATCGTTCAAAGATTTTCCTTTGAAAAGACATATTTTCAATGTAGCATAGGCCTGTATTGTGTCTTTCTTTAGTTTTTATAGTGTCATTTCATTATTTATTAATTTTTTGTTTGTTTGTTTATATGTGAATTTGTGCTCTGGCAACATTTCAACCTAAACATTCATGGCAATGGGCGAGAGAGAGAGAGAGAGAGAGAGAGAGAAATGTCTCATCTCATCTCATGGAAAAGTTTCTGCCACTACATATCAAAGTTTCCTCCTCACTAGAAGAAGAGGTGCCCAGGCTGGACCCTGATCCTTCTCATATGAGGTGTAACAATAACTATCACAATAGAAAGTAAACTCAGTCGCGTGTCTTTATTCCCCTGCAGCAAAGTCACAGACATCAGCCCAAGGATCGGTACGTGATGTCACCGTCACACGGCAGCTCTTCTGCCGGCTGCACATGCAGGTCTGTGTGTGGCGGTGGCATCACTTACTGATCCTTCAGAAATGCAGGGGAAAATGTAGCGTGTGTGGAAGCTACTGCGCCACTCGGTCAATAAAAGAGCTTTGATTTTTAATTTATTCATTTTATTTATTTTTTGCCTATTAATATACAAACACTGTGTCATTTACTTACACACACACACACACACACACCCGCTTAACGTTTTATTTATATATTTTAATTCTATATTATTTTCATTTTCTAACATACTAACACACACATACGCCTATTGTTACTTACTTTTTTCTAATATTTATTGTTACATAATTTTTATATTTTATATTTTTTTTATTATTATTATTTTATTTTGTATTAACACACACAAACACAACTTTTGCTATTTTATTTCCTTATCTAATGAAATGTATGAAATTTATTTGATACCCAGCCTTAGTTGTATATGTTTGAATATTGAGTTTTCTGTGAATGAACTTCCATGCTGAAGTTCATTCTTGACCTTGGGATCAGTATGTGTGACAAAATAATCTCAGCACCAAAATCGATTTACTAGCATTTTCTGTGCTTTTAAACAGTATCTCATCTTCATCAGCAGTCTTGATAACACCTGAGCCAGGTCCATTCACTGATAAAAACCATGAGATGCTGTTGAAACTCAGAAAAAGCAATAACCTTTGACTATAACCTTTGATGCTCAAATGGATTGAGTTGTATTCACAGAATTCTCAATTGTTTTTTGAATGTTGATCATTATTAATGTTATTTAGAATGGCATTATACCTGTACAGTACACTGTTTTGGCTATGGTTGCCGTGATGATGCTGGTTAAGCCCGTTCCCCCTCCTAGCTCAAGGACTGTCACTCCTCTGAACATGACAGGATTACAGAGGATGAAGTCACCCAAGAGGAATGCCCCTCGCCACACCTGATGAAGACAGTGAAAAAGACAAAAAATAACCACCACTTACACAAACAATTCATGGCACAGATTGGCATTAGGTTTTTCCAAGACTGTTAAATGATACATTCAGTTTCATCAGCTAAAAAAAATTATTTTCAATACACATAAATAATACACCTAAAAACTAGGGCTAAGAATATTTGGGTTATCACACCCTTTTTGAGAAATGAGTGGCTCAGCTTATTATGTAAAAAAACTTAAAAATAAATAAAGCATGACTGATGATAAATAAATTATTCGATTAATAAAGTTAGAATTTGTTCCAGGGCTAAATGGTGGCTGTGGTTTTAACTAATTAAGAGCTATAACAAAATTACCATTAACAGATAGTTGAAGGATTTGGACTTCTACATAGAAGAGGTTGGCAGTATATTCATTCTTATGCAATATTAAAGAAAACCAGCACTTATATACACAAGCATTTATTTCCAAGGTAAACAAACCAAAACACACCATATGAGTCTAACGCACTAAACTAAGACAAAGAGCAGACAAAGAGATGTGTGTATCTGATAGGGACAGTGTGTGTGTGCCTTTGTTCTGCCGTCAGTATGTTTTGCATACACAAGCACACGTGGAAGAAAGAATGTGAGGGGGAACTCCTCCTGCATGTGTGGTTGTTTAAGGCCCAATAGAAGTACATGTATGTAAGGACTGTCTGTGTGAAGCATAACATTTCTAACAACAATTTAGCAGCAGCTGAAAACTATGGTTACATACTCTCATGTTAACAAAGATCACAACAAAAAAAAAAACTCTGAAAAACACATCAGTGTATATTTACAAAAGCTAAACCATCCCTTTGTCGATGCTCTGGCTTTGGTGGGTAAATCAAGATTGTCTGTGAGTTTAGTTCCATCTTGGAATGGCCACAAGGTGAAGCTGCGGCAGTTCTGCAAACCTCTGAACCCATTTTTTAGCCTTCTGGAGGTAGCTGCATCCCAACTGATTACCCTCTCCCATAGATCTTAAAACAGGCACTTCACTCATATAGTGAATGAGCAAGTGAGGTTACCGATGGGGTCGAAAGTGATATCTGTAGCACATTTCTCTGTGTTTTCCTTGCCCTTTAAAATGTCCAGTAGTCCTTTTAGATCACACATATCAGAGGTCCTTCTCTGATCTCCACGCTAATACTAACCCTAACACTTAATAAGTAAATTTCCAAGTGTCGCTAGCCACAGAACCATACAGTCCCCTCCAAAAGTATTGGAACGGTAAGGCAAATTGCTTTGTTTTTGTTGTTCACTGAAGATATTTGCTTCACCATGCTTCACAGATGAGCTTGTATGCCTCAGATCATAAGCAGTTCCTTTATTTCTCCACACTTTGGCCTTTCCATCACTTTGCTAGAGATTAATCTTGGTAAGATTGTGTTCCAGAACTTTTGCAGCTCATCTCTGTACTTCTTTGCAAATTTCAATCTGGCCTTCCGATTCTTCCTGCTGATGAGTGGTTTGCATCTTGTGGTGTGGCCTCTATATTTCTGCTCTCTGAGTCTTCTTCTAACAGTCAGTGGTGTAGTCTACGTGATACGCAGGTATACACCGTATACCCACTAGGAATGGTCAGAGTTTTCCGTATACCCACTTAAAATAGCGAGATGATACTTAACATTGTTTTGTGACAGAACTTTCAAACGTTCATTCATAAATTCACCCCATTTGTGTTGCGAAGGTCTGAACTGACGTTTGCGGCTTCCGTCCGGCTGATGCTGTCGTAACATTACCTGGTGAGTGTGTGTGTGTGTGTGTGTGTGTGTGTGTGTATATACACAGTAGTAGCAGTTCCTGGATGCTTGCTCATGCATTTAAGCTGATACAGTACATAACCTACGTTTGACAATGGTTTTTGGAAGATAAGTGAGCTTGAGAGGATGTGGACCACTTTTGGTGTCCTCGGTGCTAATATTCTGTAATGAATAAGTTTTGGTGATAGAACTGCACAGGCCTATGTTCATCGTTATTACTGCAACTGAAAGCCTCAGCTTTCCATTAATAATAGTTACAACTCGCACTGTGAAGTGTGCATTGAAAATTGGCAGATGATAAAACCAGATTCATATTCCTATTCCTAAAATGTCCCCACCACTTTTCAACACAAAGTGACGCCCCTTTCCCACCTGTAACCATCATTGGCTGTTAAAGTCTTTTTTCTGTACCTGGTCTGGTAAGCTGAAGTGCTCACTCTCTGATTTGGACTTCATTTTGCAGGGTGGATGGGCTTGAGCACTTTCCATTTGCCGTTGTCTGACTTGCATGTGTAAGCTAATGCTTGGGCTGTTACGGTTCTGAAACAGAGAATAAAACCACGACAACAAATGTCCACAAAGGGCTGGACAATATGACGTAAAATCAAAATCATGATTATGATTAATAAACAATTATTTTGTTTTTGTTGTTTTGCCCTCATAGTTCACTGACAAGGTTTATACTGTAAATATGCTCAACTATTAAAGGTGGTATAGTGACCTCTTTGTTTTTTCATTGTGTGAATCACTCTCAGGCTGACCCTTGTTTGCTTGTAGAAAAACATGACCAAACACAAACTGCAAGCAGCGTTGGGCGGGCCACATTCTGGAGCTCTGCCGGTGTGGATGTGAATTTGCCACGCGCGTTGAAGGGACACTTCCTGATTCCAGCAGGTGGCGCTATGAGGTTGAGTGAATTATGACCTGTAGATGTGTTCAGGACGTGACCCTTATCAAATGTGTGAAATTTGGTAGAGATATTCGGGATTACTGCAATTCCTTATTCTCAGGCTTCTTGGAAAAGTCCATTAAGACTCTTCAGCTGATCGAGAATGCTGCAGCACGTGTTCTGACAGGAACCAGGAAAAGAGATCACATTTCTCCTGTTTTAGCTTCTTTGCATTGGCTTCCAGTAAAATCCAGAATAGAATTTAAAATCATTCTTCTTACCTACAAAGCTCTTAATGGTCAGGCACCATCTTATCTTAAAGAGCTCATAGTACCTTACTACCCCACCAGAGCACTGCGCTCCCAGAATGCAGGGTTACTTGTGGTTCCTAGAGTCTCCAAAAGTAGACTAGGAGCCAGAGCGTTCAGCTATCAAGCTCCTCTCCTGTGGAACCAGGTTCCAGTTTGGGTTCAGGAGGCAGACACCATCTCCACATTTAAGAGTAGGCTTAAGACTTTCCTCTTTGATAAAGCTTATAGTTAGGGCTGGCTCAGGTGAGTCCTGAACCATCCCTTAGTTATGCTGCTATAGGCCTAGACTGCTGGGGGGATTTCCCATGATGCACTGAGCTCCTCTCTCGTCTACTTTCTCTCCCTCTGTATGCAACCTCATCCCATTATTGCATGTTACTAACACAACTTCTCCCCTTTCTGGTAGTCTTGTGCTTTCTCGTCCCTCTCCTCTCTATCACTTCCTGCAGGTTTTCTGGCTCTGGAGCTGTGGAGTCTGGATCTGTGGCTGCGGGTCACCTGCTGCCCCCGTGTTCCTGCTCGACACCCTCTGCTGCAACGACTATTGTTGCTAGTCCTATTATTATTATTGTTATTATAATCATTAACATTATGATTATTATCATTAACACTACTATAAATATCTGTACCATTTTTCATTTAGTCTGTTGCAACATCACCTTTACTGTCTGTACCTCTGTGTGTGTGTATATTGTGTAGGCTGCCTCCCTCCCCTCTCTCTGTTCCTCTCCTGCTCTCCCTCTCTCTCTCTGTTCCTCACTCTTAAAGGAAGTTTTTCCTTGCCTCTGTCGCCTAGTGCTTGCTCTTGGTGGGTACTGTTGGGCTTCTGTAAATAACATCATAGAGTACGGTCTAGACCTGCTCTTTTATGAAAAGCGCTGTGAGATAACTGTTGTTGTGATTTGGCACTATATAAATAAAATTGAATTATATTGAATTGAATTATCCTTGGGGCCTGTTTTCCTGGCCACTAAATACAATCCTAGCAACTATACCAAGTGCACTGATCAATGACAAGAGAGTTAACAGGCGTGGCTGGGGTGGTATTTGGCTCTAGGGCTATTCAGTCAGGTGCCATTTCAGAGTAAGCAGGATAGGTGTTCGTAAGAAGACGGTTAGAAGCTAGGCGAATCTCTTCGTTATACCTAAGAGAGTACAACCCATAGGCCTAGAGGATCGGACCCTTTAAGACGGAGAGCTGGTCCAGTACCTCCTGAACACTCGGGATCTAACTATATATATTATATATATAAGTTTAGAGCAGGATTTTCCTGATCCTACATCAGCACAACTCCAAAACATCCAGACCTATGGAGAAAATAGAGGCATTATCCCCTGCGTTTAGGACCATCCCAGGTAATGTGGACGACACCAACTGCTGTCCGGGGAGCTGAGACAGACACGTGGGTACATATATTCCAGTTTAAAGCTTTCCCCTTTGATGCCTTGTCCTACAGACAATCTGACAGATGGAAAATGGATGGAAAAGCAGCTGCAAAACATTAGCTGCAGTGTTTACCATTGTTTTGGTCATCACAGTTTGGTGTACTTCAATCCTGGTCAACAACAAGATATGGAAGATTTTATTGGACTTTAATATTTGTGACCCACAGAAAACAATCCACAAATATTTCACTTTCTACAAATATGTATTTTTACATTTGTGATGTGTAAAATCATGCACACAAAAATACAGAGTGACTTCTACACACAAAACATTGGACAAAATTTCAGAAATGCGTAAAAAGGAAGTTACCCCTCGGGTCCTCTACCAGAGTTTGCGCCTGGGAGTTTGAGGGTTCTGCGCAGTATCTTAGCTGTTCCTAGGACTGCACTTTTCTGGACAGAGATCTCTGATGTTTTACCTGGAATCTGCTGTAGCCATTCTCCCAGTTTGGGGGGTCACAGCCCCCAGTGCTCCGATTACCACTGGCACCACTGTTGCTCTTACTTTCCACATCTTTTCTAGCTCCTCTTTCAGCCCTTGGTATTTCTCAAGCTTCTCATGTTCTTCTTCTTGATGTTGCTGTTATTTGGGATTGCCGCATCTATCACTGCAGCCCTCTTCAGCTGTTTGTTGATCTTCAGTCTGGATCTTGAAGTCCCACAGGTCATTCTCAACTACCTTAGGTGGATGGTTCGGTGAAGACCTTCCAGTTTATTCTCCTGGTTTCTGCTTCTCCCTTGTTTCGGGATTGCTTGCATAGTAGCATTGCATGTATACAAATATAAATGCTCCGTATTTGTATAGCGCCTTTCTGGTCTTTTCGACCACTCAAAGCGCTTTTACACTACATCTGCATTCACCAGTCACACACATTCATACACTGAGCCTAAGTGCTCAAACAGAAACTAACATTCATACTCACTCATACACTGGCGGAATAGCTGCCGACCTTCCGATTAACGGCCAACCCGCTCTACCTCCTGAGCCACAGCCGCCCCATAAGGCTTACAGCACCGGGTATTCCCAGGCGGTCACCCGTCCAAGTACTAACCAGGCCCTGCTCTGCTTAGCTTCCGAGATCGGGCGCTCCCAGGGCGGTGTGGCCGTAAGCCACATTATTATTATATATTTATTATAGGATAATGTTATCTATGTAATATTTTATATTTTATTGTTATCTATGTAATATTTTATATTTTAATGTTATCTATGTAATTTTTTAATATATATTAGACTGAATCAATTAATCTTAATTAATTGATTCATTTCCCCGTCTTTGTGGGTGGTCACTAGGTGTAAATTGAATGCAAGTAAAATTATCATCTAAAACCACTACATCTCATGTGTTTGAGCATTAGCATGACTGAACTGGGAGGGCTAATGTTGAGGGGAGGAGCAACAGACAAAAGGAGAGTGTTGAGGTGATTAAATTTTACTGACCTGTTTACCGACATCTTCCAGGGGTGTGGCCATAGTGTGCTCTGTAATTAGATTGGATTCATACATTAAATACAGTATTCTAAATAACTCCTTATTTACTACATAATGTCCTACATTTACCCTGCACCATTTATGAGTGCCCAAATTCAAAATACGACAGGCCGAGTTTAGAGACAAAACATCAGTTTCCCAAATTTCATATATCTAGGTAAAGCAGAGTATGCTATACATCTAGGTATACCAGGGGCTGCTTCGATGAAAATTAGGAGGGGGCGCAATAGAGCCCCCTCTCTACACAAGAGCCCAATCACTGTAGAACTTTTCACCTGTCCTGACATACACTCACCTAAAGGATTATTAGGAACACCATACTTATACTGTGTTTGACCCCCTTTCACCTTCAGAACTGCCTTAATTCTACGTGGCATTGATTCAACAAGGTGCTGAAAGCATTCTTTAGAAATGTTGGCCCATATTGATAGGATAGCATCTTGCAGTTGATGGAGATTTGTGGGATGCACATCCAGGGCACAAAGCTCCCGTTCCACCACATCCCAAAGATGCTCTATTGGGTTGAGATCTGGTGACTGTGGGGGCCATTTTAGTACAGTGAACTCATTGTCATGTTCAAGAAACCAATTTGAAATGATTGGAGCTTTGTGACATGGTGCATTATCCTGCTGGAAGTAGCCATCAGAGGATGGGTACATGGTGGCCATAAAGGGATGGACATGGTCAGAAACAATGCTCAGGTAGGCCGTGGCATTTAAACGATGCCCAATTGGCACTAAGGGGCCCAAAGTGTGCCAAGAAAACATCCCCTACACCATTACACCACCACCACCAGCCTGCACAGTGGTAACAAGGCATGATGGATCCATGTTCTCATTCTGTTTACGCCAAATTCTGACTCTACCATCTGAATGTCTCAACAGAAATTGAGACTCATCAGACCAGGCAACATTTTTCCAGTCATCAACTGTCCAATTTTGATGAGCTCTTGCAAATTGTAGCCTCTTTTTCCTATTTGTAGTGGAGATGAGTGGTACCCGGTGGGGTCTTCTGCTGTTGTAGCCCATCCACCTCAAGGTTGTGCGTGTTGTGGCTTCACAAATGCTTTGCTGCATACCTCGGTTGTAACGAGTGGTTATTTCAGTCAAAGTTGCTCTTCTATCAGCTTGAATCAGTCGGCCCATTCTCCTCTGACCTCTAGCATCAACAAGGCATTTTTGCCCACAGGACTGCTGCATACTGGATGTTTTTCCCTTTTCACACCATTCTTTGTAAACCCTAGAAATGGTTGTGCGTGAAAATCCCAGTAACTGAGCAGATTGTGAAATACTCAGACCGGCACGTCTGGCACCAACAACCATGCCGCGCTCAAAATGGCTTAAATCACCTTTCTTTCCCATTCTGACATTCAGTTTGGAGTTCAGGAGATTGTCTTGACCAGGACCACACCCCTAAATGCATTGAAGCAACTGCCATGTGATTGGTTGATTAGATAATTGCATTAATGAGAAATTGAACAGGTGTTCCTAATAATCCTTTAGGTGAGTGTATGTGCAAATTGCTCAGGCCCTGAACAATAGGTTCCTGGCACTTGTGCTCGGGTCCTAATAATATTAATCTTCACAAAAACAATAAGTTCCTTGCACTTTCAGGTGGCAAGCAGCTTTGAACGAGCCCTTGCCCCCAAGGGCGCCTCGGGGGGCACAACAGCCGTGGTCTCGCCACCTGAGGCTGGCTGGAAAAGACCTGACAATGTGTGCTTGAGGTGCAACAATTACTTATTTGGAACCAGCAAATCTATCTACATAGAAAACCGTCACATAGCCGTGGCAACACTGTTTGATAAGGATTCAAAAACTGCAATTTAACATTGCAGAGGTCTCTAGATTTCACTGCAAATTTGAAGTCAATTTAAGAGACGTTTGTTAGTTGTAGATCTGTATTTGATGCTTTGTTGATGCTTTTGTTTTTCCTCAAAGTTGCTTTCGATAAAAGCGTCTGCCAAATGAGTAAATTATGAAGCCTGTAAATGGTGATATCAATGAGTGCTTCTCAAGTGTCTTATTTGTCACTGCAAAGTTTGTGGGCTATATTGACAATTGTTTTTTTCCATATTCATAAATGAAAAAAACAACATAATCCAAATAATACATGAATTAATTAACAGTAATTTATATAATTTCTATGAGCTAATGGCAAGGCCACAGACACAATTAACATTTACATGCATCTAATTCCAATCTCGGTTACCTGTACCTTTATGGATAATAAAATTTGTGTTACAAAGTATTTACTTTTGTACAGATTTATTTTTGCGGCATTTATGATAACTAAGATAACGAGAAAATTATTAAAACATGATCAAATCTAGGTTCTTACCAATTCTTATAACATCTTCGAAGCTCTGAACTCCATCGTCCATATTCTCTTCTTCTTCCAGTGAAGGGTTGGACTGTTTGAGAATGACGGGACAGACCAAGTCTCGGTCACTACCCCCCATAGGGATTTTTCTTGGCCTATGGAATCATAAGAATGGTATGAAATGCATCTGTTGAAGACAGCAGTACATCATCCAAAGCTATAAGTAACATTACCTCTACCAAATGCACAAAACTTTAACAAGACGCTACGCGCTACACCTTTACAGTCTGTGATTGCTTGAAGGAACTACACCGCAATCTTTAGTCTCAAGTAACATCTAATAACATTTAGTAGGACTGCAATTTTTGGTGCAACAATAGTTATTGTAGGAATAATCAGCAGAAAAATGTTATTCAGATTATTGAGGTTAAGATATATTCAATGTAAAAATTCTGATGTTGAAGAAAAGCAGAATTCACAAAGAATTTTATTTACACACGTTAGACTAAAAACATAGTCCTAACCACTACTTTTAACACATTAAGGGCTTGATTTACTAAAGGTTTGCGTGAGTAAAAACGTGTGATCACCAGCAAGTTAACACGTAAGTTGATCTACTAACGGTGTGCACGCAGAATGACGTCTTTCAAAAGTGCAAGATAGCACCTGCTGTTCATTTACTACTTTTGCCTTAATGAATATGCAATTTGGGGCGTTTCAATTTTATTGTGCAAAGTAATGGGAGGGTAACTTGCAAATACATTTATTTATTACACGCAATGTGATCTACCAAGCCTAAAAACAATTTCATGTGAGGGTAAGAGCTTCTGTATTTAATACGTTTGAAAGGAAGGTGCAAACCGGCAAGTGTTGCGCAGAGATGGCTGCTGTTATCGTTGCAAGGAGACACAGTTGTAATGAAAGAAGACCTAGAAGATTAAATTTGTTAGATATTATTGTATTCGATTTAATTTATTTGATGAACTATATGAATTTAAATGTTCTTATTATTTTGTATTTTCCTTTAGCTTTGGCAATACTGTTAACATTCATGCCAATAAAGTACATTTCGTTTCGACCTGACTTCTTTTCTCCATGAGATGGAAGAATTTAGAAAGTTGCTTGGCGCTGCGGAGAGCCCCCAGCTGCAGTAGTGCATGGATCACGCGTAAAATTCATCCAGCCAGAAGGAATGATCACCAACTGTTCACAGCGCGCCGGTGTAATAACGACACAATTCACTGTAGCTATTGGAAAAATAATGGGGTGTGGAGTTTAGAGGGCCAGGGCCAACAAATACTAAAATATCAAATAATCAAAATAATAATAATTTGAAAATTTGTACAATTTATCAGTCTGACTTTCCACTGGTTGTCCTCACTTCATGGCATAAGGAGACATATTTTGCTGCAATAATTTCACATTTGGGCATTTCTCCCAGTAAATACTGTTTTTTTTTATTATTTATTTTTATTATTATTATTTTATTATTGTATAAGTAAGCACACCGTGAGCAATGTACAATCATGAGTCAAATTCATCGTATGTGTACACATACCTGGCAATAAAGCTGATTCTGATTCTGATAGGGGAGTTTGTGCGTGTCTGATATGATTTTGAATTCGGGGCATATATGGGAAATGCTTGCAAAGTTTTTTTGTCTTGAGCATCTCTGTCTCTACCTGTTCCCTGTCACACTGGGAGCAGAGTCTCTCCTCTTGTGGTAGCCAGCTCTGTCTGTGGCGACCCTTTTCTATGGCAAGGCTGTGTTCACTCAGTCCGCATTTTTCTTAGTTTTTTCTGCTTGAGTTGGCGTTGCTGTCCTGAGGCTGTTGGGGACTTGTTACTGTGATTTTAAGTAAAATTTAGTTGATCTTTTCTGTATTTTCAGTAAGAGCGGGTATTGGCCGAGCTATGCTCTGCACAGGTTATTTGGCGTTTTTCTCTGCACCTGCAGGATGCTCTTACAGAACTCAGTCCCATTTGTCAAATTCATTATTAAGTTTTGGCCCCCAAATTTCACTACCATATACACTCACCTAAATGATTATTAGGAACACCTGTTCAGTTTCTCATTAATGCAATTATCTAATCAACCAATCACATGGCAGTTGCTTCAATGCATTTAGGGGTGTGGTCCTGGTCAAGACAATCTCCTGAACTCCAAACTGAATGTCAGAATGGGAAAGAAAGGTGATTTAAGCCATTTTGAGCGCGGCATGGTTGTTGGTGCCAGACGTGCCGGTCTGAGTATTTCACAATCTGCTCAGTTACTGGGATTTTCACGCACAACCATTTCTAGGGTTTACAAAGAATGGTGTAAAAAGGAAAAAACATCCAGTATGCGGCAGTCCTGTGGGCGAAAATGCCTTGTTGATGCTAGAGGTCAGAGGAGAATGGGCCGACTGATTCAAGCTGATAGAAGAGCAACTTTGACTGAAATAACCGCTCGTTACAACCGAGGTATGCAGCAAAGCATTTGTGAAGCCACAACACGCACAACCTTGAGGCGGATGGGCTACAACAGCAGAAGACCCCACCGGGTACCACTCATCTCCACTACAAATAGGAAAAAGAGGCTACAATTTGCAAGAGCTCATCAAAATTGGACAGTTGATGACTGGAAAAATGTTGCCTGGTCTGATGAGTCTCAATTTCTGTTGAGACATTCAGATGGTAGAGTCAGAATTTGGCGTAAACAGAATGAGAACATGGATCCATCATGCCTTGTTACCACTGTGCAGGCTGGTGGTGGTGGTGTAATGGTGTGGGGGATGTTTTCTTGGCACACTTTAGGCCCCTTAGTGCCAACTGGGCATCGTTTAAATGCCACGGCCTACCTGAGCATTGTTTCTGACCATGTCCATCCCTTTATGGCCACCATGTACCCATCCTCTGATGGCTACTTCCAGCAGGATAATGCACCATGTCACAAAGCTCCAATCATTTCAAATTGGTTTCTTGAACATGACAATGAGTTCACTGTACTAAAATGGCCCCCACAGTCACCAGATCTCAACCCAATAGAGCATCTTTGGGATGCGGTGGAACGGGAGCTTCGTGCCTTGGATGTGCATCCCACAAATCTCCATCAACTGCAAGATGCTATCCTATCAATATGGGCCAACATTTCTAAAGAATGCTTTCAGCACCTTGTTGAATCAATGCCACGTAGAATTAAGGCAGTTCTGAAGGCGAAAGGGGGTCAAACACAGTATAAGTATGGTGTTCCTAATAATCCTTTAGGTGAGTGTAGAGTTATTGGTTCTAGTACAATTTGGAAAATTGTAAGCCAGATTTCAAATATAGATTTTAATGTTTCTTTTTATTGCATAGAAAGCTCTCCTTGCTTTGTCCCTCAGATCTTTCATAGCCATGTTGAAGTTCCCTGTGTATGTAATGTTGAGGCCAAGGTAAGTGTAGTTTTTTGTATGTTGTAATTTAGTGGTGTCTAAATAGAAATTGTGTGTAACCTGATTTCTGTATTGTTTGTGATTATTATCTTAGTCTTTGCTGTGTTTACTGTCAGGGCCCAGGTCTGACAGAATCTCTGAAGGAGGTTAAGGTGATGCTGCAAACCTTCTTTAGTAGGTGAGAGCAACACTAAGTCATCTGCATACAGCAGACCTCTGATCTCTGTGTCGTTCAGGAGTAGGCCAGGTGCCGTGGAACTTTCTAATTGGTTTGCTAATTCATTGATATATAGGTTGAAGAGAATTGGACTGAGATTGCATCCCTGCCTCACTCCCCAGCCCTGGGAGAAGAACCCTGTTAGCTTGTTTCCAGTCTTTATGGCACATTCACTTTATGTGTACATGTTCTTAATCAAATCATATGTTTTTCCTCCAATGCCACTTTCAAGTAGCCTATAGAAAAGGCCCTCGTGCCAGATGGATTCAAAGGCTTTTTGGAAGTCAACAAAACAGGCATATACCTTTCTTTTCTTAATGTTTAATTCTTGATCAATTAGAGTCTGGAGAGTAAATATATGGTCCCTTTTGCGGCAATTTGGCAAAAAAACAATTTGGCTTTTATGCAGAATATTGTGGTCATCAAGAAAGTTGACAAGTCGTTTCTTAATGATGTTGCAGAATATCTTTCCCTCTGTAGTTATTTGGGTCATATTTATCTCCGGATTTATGAATTGGGGTTATTAAACCTTTGATCCAGATGTCTGGAAAAGTTCCAGTTGCTAGAATATTATTGGATATTGGATAGTTTTAGTATATCCAATCTGATTTAATGGTCTGAGTATTTGATCATTTCATTAAGGATTCCATCAATACCACAAGCCTTTTTTCCTTTCAGGGACTGGATGACTTCTGTTCATTCTTGTTCTGTTACCGGGTAATCTAGAGGGTTTTGGTTGTTTTTTTATCACCACCTCCAGAGTTTTCCATTATGTGAATATCTTGTACTGATCATAATTTTTTGTAATATTACTGTACAATTTACTAAAGTGATTAATCCAAGTATTTCCATCTTGGATTGCCAATTCATCTTGCTGGGTTTTGTTTAGGTTGTTCCATTTCTCCCAGAACTGGTTGGACTCTAAGGATTCCTCAATTCACAGAGCTGGTTCTTGCTGTGTTGTTCTTTCTTAGTTTTTAGGGTGTACTTGTATTGTTTCAGAGTGGCTTCATATTGACAACGTATGTTGTGGTTATCTGGGTCCCTGTGCTTTTCATTTGATTATTTCCTTATTTCCTTATTTAAGTTTTCCTTAGGTTTTTGCATTAAGTGTCAAACCATTTGTTATTGTCCATTTGTTGAGGTTTTGGTTTGGAGGCTTTCAAATAAGACAATAAAGCCAAATGATGAAATATGTAATTGATTTTGTCCACAGCAGAATTTATACCAGATTTATTCTGTGGAAATGTTTCAGTTAGAAATAAATTTGTTAAATCATGTATGTTTTGTAGTGCCTTTTGATACGCCCCCATGCTGTCTGGGGTCCATCTGAATGGGTATGTGCTGTTAAACAGTTCACAGGCACTAGGGGCCCCAGACTTACAGTAAGTGCAATTTATACTTCTGCGTCAAATTGACGGAGTAGGTGACAGCGTAGGCTACGGGGCTACGCAGAGGCTACGCAGTCGCCTGACGTGCACCTCCTCAAAAATGTAACTACGTCGAGTCGACGCGGACCGTAAGC